AGACCACTGAGGCATGGCCTATTGCTATAGCCTCCTTCTCAGGAACCATTGATAACCATTACCCTCCAAATAAGTTAGTTGATTTTGCTAACCGTCATCCATTTGTATTCCCCAAAATCACAGCTTCAGAGCCCCTTTCTGATGCCCTAGTGTTTTTTACTGATGGCTCCTCCTCTGGCAAGGCTGCTTATGTAAGCCAAGACAATGTTTTTACCCTTCAGACAAACACCTCTTCCGCACAGCTAGCTGAATTACAGGCCATTCTTGCAGTTTTCACTGCTTATCCTAACCAACCCTTCAATTTGTACACCGATAGTGCCTACCTCGCTCAGTCTGTTCCATTATTAGAAACTGTTGCAAACATAAGCCATGCCTCCCCAGCTGCAGACCTATTCAAACAATTACAGGACGTGATTCGGCTTCGCAGTCATAAGTTTTTCATTGGCCACTTACGAGCTCACTCTAGCCTCCCAGGTCCCCTTACACAGGGAAATCACTTGGCTGATACTGCCACACGGACACAGGTATTCATGGCCCACTCTGGGCCTATAGATGACTCCAAGATATCTGAGGCTCAACAGGCTCATCAGCTACACCATCTCAATGCTCAGACCCTTCGCCTCCTCCACAAAATTACTCGGGAACAAGCCAGACAAATTGTAAAAAACTGCCCCTCTTGTGCTGTTCACTTGCCTGTTCAGCATCTGGGAGTCAACCCGAGAGGTTTGATCCCCAATGCCTTATGGCAGATGGATGTCACTCACTTTAATGAATTTGGCAACCTAAAATATATACATGTAAGTGTTGATACATTCAGTGGTTTCATCTTCGCCACACTCCAGACTGGAGAGGCTACTAAACATATTATAGCCCATATGCTATCAGCTCTCTCAGTTCTGGGATGTCCTCAACAACTCAAAACGGACAATGGACCAGGCTATACTAGTACCTCTTTTGCCAAATTTTGTAAATGCCTTAATATTCTCCATACCACGGGTATATCTTACAATCCTCAAGGACAAGGCATTGTTGAGCGTGCACATCGTTCCCTCAAATCTACCATAGACAAGATAAAAAGAGGAACCTGGTATCCAACCCGAGGTTCTCCTAAAAATATTCTTTCACATGCTCTTTTTATTTTAAATTTTTTATCTCTAGATGCCTTAGGCTACTCTGCAGCATCTCGCTTCTGGCACACACAGACAGCCACGCAATATGCATCTGTTCTCTGGAGAGATCCCCTGACCAACACATGGAATGGTCCAGACCCAGTCCTCATCTGGGGACGAGGCTCTGTATGCATTTATTCCAAACAGGAAAAAGGAGCTAGATGGCTCCCTGAAAGGCTTATAAAACAAATAGATAGTTCCTCATCGAGGACCCAATGTGACGCCCAGGAATAAAATTTCCTCCTGAGGCACAACTCCCTGTGTTCTCTTACAGATGGTGCGACTTGTCAAAATCTTATGGATCATCGTTGGACTTGTGACACAACTACATCTAATGGACAGCAACCCCCATCGACCCTGGAAATGGGAGCTTAGCCGCTGGAACAACGAAGAAAAGGTTTTGACTTGGATAGGATCAGGAAGTCCATGGTTTGCGCCCACACCCTGTTGGTTCTTCCCAGGGCTCCAATGTCCCAAACAAAGCCATTTTTACCTTTGCCCCGCAGCAACCGGGGGCAGATCATATTGTAATTCCCCGGGAGAATATTTTTGTGCTTATTGGGGCTGTGAAACAGTTGCAACAGGGTGGCAACCTGCCTTCCCCGATAAACACCTTAAACTGACATGGGGGCCGCCGGGGTGCAGCCTAGGTGACTACCCACTGGCCTATCAAAGATCCTGTCAGGTTCTAAACGTCACTGTCACCACTCCTGAGGACCCAGGTTGGCTGATAGGACGCACCTGGGGACTGAGAATTTATGAGTCAGGTAAAGACAGGGGAAATCTTATTCTCATAAAAAAGGTTCCCCTACAGACTTCAGTTGTGCCCATAGGCCCAAACTTTGCTCTAAAGCCAAAATATTATCCAAATCCAAAATACAATCAGCCCAATACAGATCCTGTTACTGCTGTTCAAATAACCACAGTAAGTCCCTCAGCCATAACGGTTTCTCAAGCTCCGCTACACCAGGCAGATCATAAACCTGCCCCTCAATATTCACATTCTAACCTGTTCAGTTTGATTAAAGGAGCATACATGGCTTTAAATCATACCCAACCTGATCTCACCCAATCATGTTGGTTATGCTTGGCTGCTCCTCCCCCATATTATGAAGGAAAGGCCCTCAATTTAACCTTTATCAGTTCTTCTAGCTCATCTGCCTGTGATTGGGACAATCACCACAAGCTGACTCTCCCTGACGTCTCAGGTAGAGGAACTTGTCTTGGGGACTCCAGCTGTCCACCAGCACTGGCAGCACAACTCTGTGCCCAGCTTCATTCCAAATTCAAGCCAAATAATTACCTCATTCCACCCCCAGGAACGTCTTGGGCCTGCAATTTTGGCCTATCACCCTGTATAGCAACTGCTGTTTTTAACAAGTCTACAGATTTTTGTGTTCTTGTACAGGTTCTTCCACGCATAACCTTCCACCCAGGAGACTACTACCTCCAGGCATCGCAGACCAGCTATATATCTAAGAGAGAACCTGTGACATTCACCTTAGCTGTGTTACTAGGGTTAGGAGTAGCAACGGGAATAGGGACAGGGACCACAGCTCTAGTGTTGGGAGATAAGCATCTAGCTCAATTACAGGCAGGAGTAGATCAGGATTTAAAAGAAATAGAAGCATCTGTGACAGCTCTACAGGCGTCCCTGACGTCTCTATCTGAGGTAGTCCTGCAAAATAAAAGAGGACTAGACCTCCTGTTTATGAAGGAGGGTGGCTTATGTGCAGCCCTCAAGGAAGAGTGTTGTTTTTATGCTGACCACTCGGGAGTAGTCAAAGAGTCCATGAGTAAACTGAGAGAGCACCTCGAAGAGAGAGAAAAGGAGCGCATCGGAGCAACCACCTTCTCCATGTGGGAGGATCTCTCCCCTTACATTGCCCCCCTCTTGGGACCCCTAGCTGCCTTGCTGTTGCTGCTTACTGTAGGACCTTGTGTTTTCCAGAGGATCATGACACTCATTAATAACATCAATAACAAGGTTGACACATTTATGGCAAAGCCCATTCAGGTATATTACCATCGGTTGGAAATGGCAGAACAACAAACTTATCGGGAAAATTCACCCACTGACGGCCCACATGATGCTGTGGCCCAGACGCCCTGAGGCACTGGACAGGCAGTCAGAGACGGGCAACTAGGACACATATGTAATGCCAATCGGCCACCTAAGACAGGTCCAGGACCAACAGCTGTCCTGCAGGCCCATGACGGGTAAGGCTCGATTGGGTTCATATGAGGAGTCCTTGACCCAAGGCAGGCGCTGTCCTCCCAGGGCCTGCCATGTTCCAAAAAATATATATAATAATAAGGGAGGAGATGTAGGGAGCGGTTTTGAATAGCTGCTGCTGCCCTGCCCCTCCTGCCTGAGGGCATTTTGTGTGTCAGCCTACATTTCCCATGATCCTCCCCTTGCCTGCAATGCACATGACAAGCAAACTTCCTGTTTCAGCCTGCCTACATTACCCATAATCCTCTCCTGCTTACATCATATATCCGGATATGATGATGACCTATCAGATTAAGCCTTCTTCCTGCCTATGGCCCGCCCCCACCCTATATAAGTTGTAACCATTTTGAAAATAAACGAGACTCGATTGGAATCTCATCCTGTCTCCATCTCTCTTTTCTCTTGTCCTGCCCCCATCCCCGATCCCCTCTCCAGGTTGAGACCCATAGATTGATCCGCAGGCCGGATCACCTACACCCAAATATTTAAATATTCAAAGATTGTAATCTAGTTTGGCATGGTGACTATAATTCCAGCACTTGGGAGGCTGAGCAAGAAGATTAAGAATTTGAGGCTTGTCTGGGCTGTATACCAAGTTCAAGGCCAGCCTGACTAGTGAGACGCTGTCTCAAAACAACTGATCACTACCCAAAAAAAAAAAAAAAAAAAGAAAACATATGACCTAAGCTAGCAAATATGTCAATATGTTCTCTTCTCCTACCTTGAGAATAGCATCATTATAAGCTGGGATGCCAGATTTGAATCTAGAATTTGGGGACTCTGAATTTCTGTTCTGCAATGTAACATCACATGGAAAGCCAGCTTTGGCCTTCATCTGCAGTCACCCCTTCTCTCTTATTTCTGGGTTCATCCTGCTCACCTAGAGTTCTGTGTGCAGCTATGTGAATATGCCTATATACCTATCTAAACCTTGCCCATGATTTTTCTAATGGCTTGGATACTTGAGCAGAGGTGTGCTGGAAGGGTCACCTATCTAAGCAGGTGATTCCAGAGAAAGAGGGCATTAGGTTCGGATGAGCTGTCACTTCAACCCTGCAGACTTCTTGCCCATAAACAATAGTATGGCCAGGATGTGGCTTTTCAGAGTGGTAGGCCCAGGACAGTTCCCCTTGCACCTGAGCCTATGGATGGTGTAGTCACATGACAGGGTGCATGCAGAGTACAGAGCATCAGACATTGTCAAGAATGATACCGTAGGGGCTGGGGATTTAGCTCAGCAGCATAAGTGCCTGCCTTGCAAGCAGGCAGTCATGAGTTTGATCCCTGGTACCGATAAAAAACGAAAAAGACCAAAAAGAAAAAAAAAAAAAAAAAAGAATGATACTGTATCATCTCTGGGCCACTCCTTTTTAAAAAAAGACACACAGTGTTTCTCTGAGGCTGCTTCTACAGCCAAATCTTGATGAGACCACAGGCCACCCAACTGGAATGCAGGGTATTAAACACACCTGGGTTCTTTGCCAAGCCTCTGAAGTGACTGCCCCATTTCACTCTGCAAATTGGAGCCTGGGGGACAACCCTGTGCAGAGTTCATCTCTGTACCCTTAGCAGCTCTGGAGCCATTTAAACTGGCCTAGCATGCACCAAGGTCTTTATTACAGTAGAACATGTTCTGAAGGAGGGTGTGAGCGAGTATGGCAAAGAGAAGATGAGGAAGGCCAAGAGGGACCCCATGAGGGTGATGAGGGGCAAGCTGGCTCTGCTCACCCTTTAACTTGAGTGGGGGACACAGGGCTGGTGACAAGCAAGAAGTTGGTCTCCAGGGAAATCTGGCTGAAAGAGTAGTCTTCTGTCATACACTTTTTCTTGGCTTGTTCCAGAACGCCAAACACCTGTAAAAAGGGTAAGGTGCTGCTGAAGACAGGCTATTCTTGGATAATATGAGGGTGAAGAAAGGGCTGGCCTTTATGCTTATGACCAGACCCCCAAGGGCCAGCCCCCTTCTCAGCTACTCCAGAGCACCTTCCAAGAAGTCAGTTTTGTGAAACTCAATTGTCTGCTCCTGGGGTAGGAACAGTGCCAGAAAGGCAAAGGCAAGTCTGGCTTGCTGTCTGACTGTGGACCTGTGGTTTCCTCTCTGGGGATCTGTTCCCTGCTCTGTAAAATGTAGGAAGCAGGAAGAACTGACTTCCAAGGCCCTTTCAGCTCAAACAATCATGTTGTATGAAATCTGTATGAACACTGCCATGGAAAGGATAACTGAATGCCACTTCGGTAGGGAGAAAGAAAGGGGAAAAGGGAAAGATTGAGTTCCCTCTTCCAGGAAGCAGGTGAAATCAGAGGTGTTCTCACCTTTGCCAGCTCAGATTGTGGCCAGCCAGGTTGTAGTGGACCATGCCTTGGTATTCACCTTTCAGGACACTGTCTGCACAAAGGAGAGAACATGTTCTTGTGAGGCTGGGCTGGAAGGATGGGGAAAGTGATCTGGTGCATAGAATCATGGTCTTCTTCCCAGGGTCAAGGATGTGGGACTTGGTGGGGTGAGTCACAGCTGAATGAGGCTCAGACAAGTGACAGAGGATCTGTCCACCCAGGGGATCTTCCAGGGCCAGCATACATCTGGTAAGGTCAGGTCCACAAATGTCTTGAATTCTCCATCTCCTCCTGCTGCCCCTCTCTCTGAACCTTGGCCTACCAAACTTGCTCTCAAGGTGTTGAGGGCTTCCCAGGCACTTGAACTGACCTGTACCATGATGGCCAGCTGGGTGCACAAGGCCTCACATTCTTCCATGCTGGGGAAAAGCTTAGAGGCCTGAAATAGGGCTTGGAGAAGCTGATACCCACTCCAAGTGTGCAAGTCTTGTGCAGACAGATGCCTGTCAATGCCCAGATTACCTTGTTCCTGATTCCCGTGCAGAGAGTATGGTCCATGTGCAGTGCCCAGGAATCTCCTGGCAGGTTTTGCACCAGCTATTGACATTTCTGCCATACAGACCTACAGAGATGCTGGCTGTACCTGTGGGAGGTGAGGATAAAAACCTTGCCAGATTCCCAGGCTCAGGCCAAAGTGTCCCAGAGCAGTCACCCAGCCATGGGGTCCATGCCAATGGATGGCTCATCCAGGAAGATGACACTAGGCTCTCTGAAAAGGGCAATGCTGACACTCAGCTTACATTTATTTCCAAGGATGATTGTTAGTCTCTAGTGGTAAGTTGTGCTGACCCAACACTGGACCCTTTCATTCTCAATTTGGGAGATTCTGGTAGGACTTTTAGAAACATAGCTTACCACTTTTTCCCACTGGGCAATTTTACTGGAGATCTAAACTGTTTCTCTGAACACAGAGATTATTCTATGGTGAGCGTGTAGGCAGAGTCTTCTCTGAGGATCTCCATGGCTGTTGGGAGGTGTGCTTTTCTACCTGAGAGTAAGAACATAGGCCCATTTTAGGTAATATTTTTAATTTAATTTAATTTGGTACCAAGAATTGAACTCAGGACCAGCCAGACATTTGTGCCACTGATCTATATCCCCAGCCCATTGTTTTGTTTTGTTTTGTCTTTTTCGTTTTTATTGGTACCAGGGATTGAACTCACGACTGCCTGCTTGCAAGGCAGCTTATGCCGCTGAGCTAAATCCCCAGCCCCTATTTTTTGAGACAGGGTCTTACTATGTAGTTCAGGTTGGCCTTGAACTCAGCACATAGCCTAGGCTGGCTTCAAACTTGCCATTATCTTCCTGTCTCACCCTCCTAAGTGCTGGAATTACAAGTGAATCATCACACCTGGTTAGGTAATGTTTGGGTTTTTTTGTTTTGTTTTGTTTTTTAAACTCTTGCTGTATATGCTATGTGCAAGGCACCATTCTAAACTTTAGTTTTTTGTTTTTATGGTACTGGAGATCAAACCCAGGGACTTGCACATGTGAGGCAAGTACTCTACCACTAAACTACATCCCAACCTATCCATTCATCCATTTTATTTATTGATTGAGATAGGGTCTCATTAAGTTTCCCAGACTGCTCTTCAACTTATGATCCTCTTGCCTCAGACTCCCAAGTTCCTAGGATGCCTGGCCACATCCTGAAGTAAATTAATATGATCTTCAAAAGATATAAAAGGAGACAGGGATATAGCTCAGCAGCACAGTGCCTGCCTGACAAGCACAAGGTTCTGAGTTTGATTCCTGGTACCAAAAAAAAGTGGGATTTTTTTCTTCTTAAAATCAGATTTATTGGTACAGATGTAAGGAAACATTTAAAGCTGCTTGAAATTCAAGCAGACAAGGAACAAAGAAAGCAGAGAACATCATGGCCTGACTTCCAGACCTACTTTGCGGAAGGTCACTGGCATCTCTCCACTTCACAGCCTGGGCGTTCAATACCGCTCTGCACTTCCAGAAACACTGTGCACAGTGCAAGCAAAGGGCAAAATCCTTAGATTTGGGCAGTGAGTGTTTTGCTTTGGTAGAGCTGACTAAAATCGGGGTTCTATCAAAAGGCAACAGATGCCTAGGAAATACCTCAGGCTCCTCAGCAGAACCTCAGGAGACACACCAGAATGAGGTAACTAGACTTAAAATACAAGCCTACCAAAAATAGGAAGCCCATCATAAAGTGGAAGTAGGAAAGTCCTGCTTATTCTGTTGGACCACTATCACATGTGCTATTATCTACCTGTCTTCGGCATGGAAACTGTCACTGGTCAGAGTTGGCCCCATAATCTCCCAGAGCCCAGGACCAAGAAGGAAATGGTCTTGGGGAAGCCCAACCCACTGACCTCTTCTGTGTGGGACAGAGGCCACCTCTACCCTCAGCCCTGAAATGGCATGGACTTACGGTCCATGAGGCCTGAGCTGACAGGCCTGTCCCTACATTTCAGTGCCATGAGGCTCACCCAATAACGGGGAAAGTGGCTGAAGAAAGCCCCCAATCGCATCTGTAGGTCTTTACTAGCCTCTCTGCATAGATACATAGCTAAGTCCTTGAAAATCTGGTTTCACATACACACTGATACAGCACTCGGAGATGCCCCAAATCTGGGCATATATGACCAGTGTCTCTCGGACAGTCAGTCATGAAGTTCAGTGGGGCATTAAACTGAGGACAGTAACTGATCCACAGCTGCACCTGGGTCAGAATAGAGCCTGGAGAGGGAAAAACACAGAGTGAAGCCTCTTTTTGCTAGGTTCCCCTTTGCCCAATTAGCCAGTGCCTACAGTCCTCCCTTGCTCTTCTTCCAATCCAGGCCCCTGCTTCTACCCTGCCAGTATTCACGTTTTCCATGTGAACAGACATGCCACATGAAGGGACCACAAGTGGGATTAGAATAATGTTTGGGAGACTGGGACTGTGGCTTTTGGTGGTGGTGCCTGTTTTTGGAGGATTCGTGGGGTAGAATCCTTTCTGGCTCCTTTCTGCCCACCTGGCCTGAAACCACTTTGGGATCACTATCAAACTGTCTCATCCAGAGAAGACATTTTCTTTTAATCCTTGGAAATATTTCTATCAAACATCTGTAAATAGATTGTTGTAAAATACACAAAAGCTACAGGAGTCTTCCCTAAAGGCCTGCCCTGGGCTCACGTGGTCAGGTTAGTGTGCACCCTTCAGCCTTCTGCCTTAATGTGGGAATGTGCACAGAGGAGCATTCCAGGCACAGGACTGATTGTGTACTGTCTTTGCCAAAGAGCATCATCCCATATTTGCAACATGCTTTTCTAACTCAAGATTACATCTTACAGATCCTCCAAGGTCATCGCAACTCCTAGGTGCTACTCTTGCTTAGTTTAACTACTACTTAGTCATGTAGAAAAGGTCTCTAGATTTAGTTGTTTGAAGAATGCAGGTACATTTGCATTATATCCTTTTTTTTTTATTACAAACCTGCAGCTCAGCACCCTCATTTATGCCCATGTTCAAGTGGTCCCCTACAGTAGATGGTGAAATTAGAGGAATATCATTTTTGAAAAATAATCACATTTCCTCCTCCTCTTTCTTCCATTCCACTCAAACACCTGGATGACCCCAGTCCACACCATCTGGGAAGGACGTGTTAGGATGTAAGAAGAAAAACCAGCTGAATGGTCTGCTTAGGGAAGATAGCTAGAAGAAGAGTGGAGGAACCTTGTGCTTACCAGACAGGCGTTTGTGCCACTGAGCTAAATTCCCAGGCCTGAAGAAGAAAGTTTGCAAACTTCACACACTAAGGAAGGGGCTTTGGTTGCTAGAGACAGGCTTCCTCTAGAAGACAAATGTGCAGGCAACTGCTGGACAAAAAGATGCAGAAGACTTGAATGAGGGTGGTTCAGATTTCTCATTGGTAAAATAGCTTTTACCAAGTTATTTTGACAGTGTTTCATTTCTAGTTTGCTAATTTTTAAAAAAAATTATGAATACTGTGGTTTTCTCAAGTGCTTGCTTTTTTTTCTTTTTTTTTTTTTCTGCTGAACTATGTTATCATCACTGTATTTTTGTTTGTTTTTGAAGATAAGATCTATGTAGTTCAGGCCAGCCTTGAACTCCCTATCTAGCCTAAACTGGCCTTGAACTTGCAGTGATTCTCTGCCTCAACCTCCTGAGGGCTGAGATGACAGTCATGTACTAGTAGGCTGTCCAGTACTTACTTTCTTTTAGCATCTATTGATAAGTATTTTCTCCTTTAATCTGTTAAGGTAGTGATTTATGTTGAAAAATTTCATACTACTGGACCTTAATTATATTTCTAGAGTAAACCTGACTTTAATCATCTGTTGAATTCATATTTTTATTTATTTATTTATTTGTTTTTTGAGAAAGGGTCTTGTTTGATAGTTCAGGCTGGCCTTGAACTCAATATGTAGCCCAAGCTGTCCTGGAACTCATGGTGACCCTCCTGCCTCAACCTCCCTGGTGCTGGGATAATAGGGGTGTGCCACCACACACTACTGAATTCTCACTGTTAATATAGCTTGTTAATGTCTCAGTTAGGTCACATTTCAGAGGGAATCTGGCCAGGGGCTAACTGTGGTTGCCCTCCTTGACTGCTTCTACTCCTTTCTTTTGTTTTTGTCTTCCTTCCCTTCCTTTCCCTTCCCTTCTTTTTGTAACAGACTGAACCTAGGGCCTTCCCTTTGAGGTACATCCCCTGCTCTTTTTATTTTTTGAGATAGAGTCTTGCCAAGGTTGGGATAGAACTTGCAATTCTCCTGCTTCAACCTCTCAAAGTGCTGGGATTATAGGTGGATCCTAGTATGCCTGGTCACTTTCCATGCTTTGGGATTAAAAGATGCTCAAAGGAAATGATCTGTGAGCTGATTCATTGGTCCCTTTTAGCCTAGAAGTAGGTGTTTGGCTCTCATTTCAATTTTACCTCTAGTTTGAGTCTATACAAGCTTTCTAGTTCTCAAACCAATTTTGGGCTGCAAGGTTCAGAAATGCTGTATGTTGATTTTAAAATGAAGAAATGTAACATTCTTATGCACCTGCATAACCACACTTGGCCTCATTCCTTTTTATTATTGGATAATACTTCATTATATAGCAATACCTTGCATTGTTTACCATTCATCTGCTGATGGACAGTTGGGTTGTTTCCACTTTTCACTATTATGCATAACACTTTATAAATATTCTTGTGAAAGTTTTTATGAGATGTAGGTTTTTGGTCATTTTGATTTATACCTAATAATAATATGGCAAGCACATTTAACATTTTGAGTATCCTTTCTGATAATTGTAATCCACTTATACTTAATGTAATTGCTAATATATTTGAATTTAAATTACCATCTTATTCAGGGCTATTTATCCCATAGATTTATGTTCTTTTCCTCAATCAAATGTCTTCTGACATGATTTTTCTCATTTTTCTACTAAAGTTGAGCTGGAGATATGGCTACTTTGGAGATATCAACAAACAGATGGTAATGGGAGCCAAAAGAACAAAAAAGGACTAAGAAAGACAACATATGTAGAACAGGGACAGTAGACTTCAGGTATGGCCCTAGGAACATATACAAAAAGAAGAGTCAGAGAAACAAGTGTTAGTGACAAAAAAGAGCAAGGAGAGAGGGAAGCAATGGGACAAGCAAAGAAGTCTTAAGTTTGAAGGAAAGAAATGCCAGCCTTATGAAATGCACAGAGAAGTCAAGGAAGACCCAGATTGAATATCAGGTGTCACCTCAATCCTAATCAGCAGGCCTACCGTACAAACAGGCCCAGAGAGAACAGATTCTAGGGATATTTGGAAGGGAGCATCCATGGATTAGGGCTACTGAATGGTTGTCGTGGGTGATGTCTTGAACCGCAAATGGATATATGACAATCACTGCCCAGAAAGCACAGGAGAGGAAAAGGGAAGAGGAGGGATTGGTCACACTTTTGGAATCTAGAGATTCTCAAGAGATGGTGTTAAGTACGTATAGCAATATCTCAGAGAAGTGAGTAGGGAGCAGATACAGATTTGGGGGTCACAGATGAAATGGATACATGAAATTTTCACAGATCATGACCCATTCCAGTTGCCTGAGTCCAAATCCGGTGTTAGAACCCTTGCTTTGTTTGCAGTCCACTCACCTTCCCTAGGTTACAGCTGTTTCTGAGCCCCCTAACAAAGGCAACTCCAGTGGTGATAGACTCCTCCCAGTCAGCATTTTTGAAAATGGAGGTTTTTCCGGCTCCACTGAGGCCAAGAAGACCAAAGCATTCTTTTGCTTGAACAGTGAAGGACACTTTGTTTACAGTCAGCAGGGGCATCTTCTCTTGACCTGAGACATGCAAGACAGGAGTGCACTCAGCAATAGCTGCACACCTACTCTGGCAGATCTGAGTTGCCTCTTATTATCCAGCTCTTCCTTGCACTCTTCTCTCAGCTACTACTTTCCACAAAGCTCAGTGAGGTTGTCTCTCCTCCCATCATCCTTGCACACTAAGAACTTAGTTTCCTATGATAGACTTTTCCCCTTCCGGTTCCCAAAACAAACAAACAAAAAATGTTTTGATATTGCCTGATGGTTTCTATTTGATTCACCAACATTACAGGGAAACAATATGACTAACACAAGTTGAGGAAAATGCTACAAAGTTCCTGAATGTTTTAAAGATCTCAATTCTCCCTGGGGCTGTCAGGGAGTCTAAGCAGGCTTAGTTTGAGCTTCCAGTGCCCTTTTGCTCCTTGCCTCCTCCACAATTATCAGATCCAGGAGAGTTTCAACTATTTAGGGTTCATTTCTCTGATTCCCTCTCTTTCTAGGTCTTTCTATTCTTCCAAGAAACCACAGAAAAGACACTGGAAGGTGGAATCTCTGTCCCTGGCCACAAAACTGAACATATATGTATTTCATTCTCAAATGGAGAAACATCACTCTAAGTCTGTCTTCCCCAGAGGCTTAAGTTTCAGTGTAGGCAGGTGTCAACACCACCAGTGAATTGATTCCTCATGCACAGAGCCTAAAATGATGATCTTGGCTTTCTAAATCCCAGTTTGATTTTAGCTTTGACAGTTGTTGACAGATGTTTAACAACTAGGGTTCCCCCCCTCCCAAGTTTTCTAGATAAGTCTCAATGATTTTTGCCTCTTCTACATATTGGTCTTTGGACACTAATGCAACATGAAACACTTCCTAAATTTCCAAGACAAGGATGGAAACTTAACCCTTTCTAAGGGAGAAAGTGGCAATTGAAGAAAACAACAAGGTCTGTATTCCCCTTAGGAAGCCTTGAAAATACCTCAGCCAACCTTAGCTTTCAAGCATATGAGAGCATCCCACCATCAGAAACATTATGGTATTCAAGACTCAACTCCTATTGCTGGGATGGGGCGATAATTTTTGTGGAAAACTAAGATTTAGAGCCTTGGGACATTAAGATAAAATAAAACCCATTTCCCACAGTTTCCTTGGGGACCTCTGGCCTCTGAAACCAAAAGCTCAAATAACACACTTTTCTCCTGTCTGTTTTGTTAAGAATGCACTTACTCATCCAGACTGAAAGGAAACTGGACACCAGAAGCAGCAAAAGTAAGGCATTTAATGCATACTCTTGCAAGAGAGGTACCTATACACACGGAGAGCCACACTCCAGTTGTGAGCCTGTGTGCTTCAATTCCTAGCTCACAGGTAACCCTGAACCCCTCTCCCATGGTCTGGGACCTGAGGTTCACAGTCTATCTTGAACAATCTCTTTTATCCCATATCTGATGTCCACTCTCCTTTTCCTTCTTTTTTCTTTCTCCCTCTGTATTTCTCCTTGTAGTTATTTTTAGTCTTTTGGCTTTTCAGGATTTGGGAAGACTTATCTCAAGTTAAATCTTTGTGCAGTCCACAGGTCCTTGTCTGCTAATTGACCAAGCTAAGTCTAAGAATATTAATGATGGGGCTTGGGGTTTAGCTCAGCAGCATAAGCACCTGCCTTGTAAGTGTGCAGTCGTGAGTTCGATCCCTGGTACCAATAAAAAGCAAAAAGACACACACACACACACACACACACACACACACACACACACAGAATGATTAATGAAATACGGACCAAATAAAAATATTTTTATCTCTTATATGATTCATGGATGACTGGGGAAGAGGTGTTCCACAAGTTAGGCCCTGGCTTTAGGCATCCAGGGTCTTATTTCTCTTTATCTAATGAGCTGGCCCTTAAAACACCCAAGATCTCCGGCATGCTAACCAGAGCCAAAGAGCTAAGTCAGACTTTTCTTCCCTCTCTGGAGGTTCCTGGAATGTACTATCACCTCTGTGCCCTGAGACTGAACCTAACAATCTACAGGTTCCCACTGATGCCGAGAAGCAAGGCAATTATAGAACATAGGGAGGAAAATATGGAGCCAGGCCCTAGAAAACTTATATCCTGACATACTAAATTTTGCTCTGTAGAAATAAAAAATCCTGGCTTGCAGTTTCCAGAATACTTTGATTTCAGCAAGGAAAAGCAGGATAATGTACACTGGTCCTAAGATAGCCAAGGCTGTCAGATACTTTCCTATTTGAAGGAACTCCCAGTCATAGATGTTCTTTTGGATCATATATTCTTCTATTAACATGATATTAACAGATGTTGTCATATTTTGAATGATTTTCAAAGCTAGCTCTCACCTTTACATGCAGTACAAAAATTCCTATTACAATAAATATCATTAAAAGAAGCATTATTGTCATTAATGCTATTACCACATCCCAGCAAGTGATAAACATCACCATTTTATTTTCCTTGTTATAACTAATGTTCTATAAAAATAATGCAATAAAAGATTTTTCTCATGTTGTCCACCAGAAATATGTATATAATTTTTTATCAGTTAAAAAATAAAAGGCTAGGGGTATAGCTCAGTGGTACAGCATTTTAGCAGTTATGAGGCATTGGGCTCAATATCCAACATGAAAAAAGTATAACAAACAAAAGACTTATCCCTGTCTGGATGACCATTTTTGAAATGAAAAATCTTTATGTTTGGTTCTGCTTTTAATCATTAATCCCTCTGCAACTTCAACTGACTAATCAGGAGTCTCTACTCTTTCTGATTTGCTCTGTCTTAATTTTTTTTCTGTCTTAATGCTTTTCTTTTAAAATTATACACTAGATATAGACTTACCGGAAAAAAGAGAAAGCTATGAAGTAGAGGTAAAAGTGCTTTTATGTTCTCCAAGACCGTTGTAACCACTATTAATGTTTTGTACATGAGTCTTCCATATTTAATGTTAGGGAAAAAGGAAACAGATATATTGAGCTCAACAGGACAGGTTTTTCAGAACAAACCTGAAAGGGACCACTCTGGCATTAGAGACCAGAGCAGCATCTCTCCTACAGGTTATGGAGTTTTTTTGTAGGGTCAAGGGAAAGGAGGTTGTGGCTACCTGCCAAGAACAAGGCTTGAGAGAGCACAAGCAGTAATGGTTCCCCAAGGACAAGGGTTAGGAAAGCACAGGGAGTAGTGGCTACTATCAACAGCTGGGCTGATATTATTATACCTCCCCAGGTTCAGCTTGCTTGCTTGCTTGCTTGCTTTCTTTCTTTCTTTCTTTCTTTCTTTCTTTCTTTCTTTCTTCTTTCTTTCTTTTTCTTTCTTTCTTTCTTTTTTGTCTTTTTGAGACAGTCTCACTATATAGTTCAGGCTGCCTTGGGCTCACTCTGTAGCCCAGGCCGGTCTCCAATTTGCAATCATCCTCCTGCCTCAGCCTCCCCTTTTGCTGGGATTACAGGCTTGCACCACCATCCCCAGCTCTTAGAGAGGTTTCTAATTAGGATAGCAGTGGTCAGATTGTTTCATTTACTAGATATAATCTTTCAAAATAAAAATGAAATGATACTATACATTATCATTACCAACTGAATTGTTTCATTTAATAATACAGAGTTCACCAAAAAATGTATACACGTTTCAGAAAAAGAAAAATATTGTGATTTTTTAAAATAGACAATGTTAGCCTCACATAGGGGATGCTAGAGGATGTGGTATATCACAGAAAACCCACTACAACACTGCCAGTTCTTAGAGAAGAAACTGAAAATGCATTTTCACAATCTCAGTGACCAATGTTACCAAAGCAGCAGCTCACATTACTAATAAATGTCTGGAAGTGAATGGCCACCAGTTTGAGAACTTCTTATAATTGCAGAGGCCAAAAGTAACTTTTATTAATCTCATGATATCTCAATAAATTTAGTATTAAAATATTTATACAAGTTTTTCATTTCCTGAAGTGTGTATACATTTTTTTGGCAGACTTTTATACAACCAACACTGACCACCAAGAACATACATTTCAAATAATTCTTTTTTGGTCTGTAGCATTTTACATCATATGTGTGTCATAACTCAGTAACTGGTCTCTTTTTGGTGCATGCACAGATAGGTTACAATCATTCCTCAGTGTTTGTATGGTACAGGCTTCAAAGTCTATAGACACTTAAGTCCTCACATAAAATGGCACAACATAGCCAGCCCTCTGTATCATAGGTTTTGTATCCATTGACTCAGAAAATACACAGAATTGAAAATATTTAGAAAAGAAAAACTTTGTCTATATTGACTTTATTTCCTGAACAATGTAGTATAACCACAATTGATTAAGCACTTACATTGCATTAAGCATTTTAAGTATCTAATGCAGCAGGCCCTGAATTCCATCTCTAGCACTACACAATGATAAAAACCAAATAATCTAGAGATGATTTAAAGTATATGGGATGATGTGTGTAAGTTAGATGCAAATGCTATTTCATTTTATTTGACTATTACATGAATTATATCTCAATAGTATCCTTTTTTTTTTTGGTACTGGGGATCGAACTTAGGATCTTGCACTCGCCATGCAGGTCTTACACCGTTGAGCTAAATCCCTGGCGAATTATGTCTCAATAAAAATGAGATTAATGAATGTATAATACAAATGTCATTGTATTCAGTGTGGCTTAGAGTTTTGGTACTGCAAAACTTTTGTAGCTCAAAATTTTAACACAACTTGGAAAAGGTCATCCTCAGGCAATGCCCTGGGAGTATTAGGAATGTTTGATCCAAGGACTCTGAGATTTCTGTGTGGCCTAGCTTTGTGAAGAAAATGCAAAGTATTAACTCCATTTGCACAAGAAAGGGCATACCTCCCCATCTCTCCTACCCTACCATATCTCTATTCTGGGACCATTGCACTCCCAGGCCTCCACATCAGAGGCCTGGTTGTCCCCTCTCTCTGTAGTTATTCAGTCTCCAAACTATGAGTGTGTTCCTTTGCCATTCTCCAATGTATCAATTTATTTCCCT